AGTTTGTAGTGATGTGACAATATATATATACACAGAGAGAGAGAGAGAGAGAGAGAGAGAGAGAGAGAGAGAGAGAGAGAGAGAGAGAGAGAGAGAGGGCGCTGGGGAGGGTTGGTGTTCTTTTCTGTTCTGCCTTATTTGCCTTTTTTTCTTTTGTTTTGTGGAAGGAAAAGCTCCGTCTCTTCTGAGGGCAGCAGTCCAGTTGCGTATCACTGGCAAGCATGAAACGGAGTACAAAATAGAAAGAGTAGAGAACAAGAACAGCCTTTGCCCCTGCAGCACGAGCTGCTTGGGGGGGCTGCGCCGTGACGCTTACGTATTTCCCCACCCGGGGCTCTCATAATGGCCACCCAGTTGCACATTATGAGTTCTCTTGGGGGGGAGTATCAGGCCATGGACCAGCACCTCCAGTCTCTAGGCCTCCCCAATCTGTTTCAGACTTTCAGTTCTCCCATCTCTGGGCCTCTCCGGTGAATTCCTTTCGCCCTCTGGGACAGAAGGTTAACCGACCCCCCAATTTTCACCCCCATTTATAAGAAAACCAAACGGTCATTTTAACCATACTTCACACCAATCTGTAGAGTGCACTTCTGACTAACTTGCTGTAAAAAGAAAACTGAAAAAAAAAACCAAAAAAACATTTAAAACAGCAAGCCAAAAGTACACTCTCATGAAATTTCACCAACATTTCAATTTGTCAATTTTCAGGGTGGTGAAGGTTACGCTAGAGGTGAAAAGTGGGGGTACCTGTTAACCATTTGTGGGCCCTTTTTCCATCCATCTCCACCATATCTCCTTGTTTCCGCCCCGCCCCACGCTTCCCCCCCCCAACCAGCTGTTCTGCACTCTAAAACCTGAGTCCTATCTCCGCCATCCTCCCCCCTCTCTGTTCTGCACCTCAGCCTTGCATCGGAACAAAAGGATGGAGGTCGAGGCATATCGCACACTGGGCTGCATGCAGTATCAGGTGGTAGTTCTCCCAGAGCATTAAGTGGAGGACCAGTGCCCAGTTGAGGAGGATAGCAGGCGGTGGCTCCTGACATTAACCATAGCAGGATGGCCAGTGTGTAGGAGAGGTGGAGAGGTGAAAGTGGGGATCCTTGGGAGTGGTGGATGGCTGTGGGAGCAGGTGGGTACTTATCTGGTGATTGGCAGAGAGCACTTGTTGGATGAGACTCTCCTGCGTCATTGGACGAGGGACAATTGTACACACACACACACACACACACACACACACACAGAGAGAGAGAGAGAGAGAGAGAGAGAGAGAGGGGGGGGGGGGGGGGGGGGGGGAGAGAGGCTTGTAGTGTAAACTAGAGTAGGGTAGTAATATAACGGTGACATCGTAGTGTAGGGATGCTACAATGTTGTTGCATTGATTGTTGGAGGCAAAAAGTAGGGCTTTTGATACCAAGCGACTTCAGTGTTCACATGTTGAAGCCTTGGCGTGCTCTCTGCTTGTCTATTCTGCTTTCAGTCTTGCTTATGCGTGGGTGGTCTTCTTGGCGTTCTTGTTGCTTGTTTTTTTTCCTCCCAGAGGCTGGTCCATTTCATCCCCCTCTTTGCCGGCAAAGCCGCACACATGTTTTTCACTTGCGCCATAAGGCTCCCAGTTATTTGACACCTCTAAAGTCATTTCACAGATTCGAACTTGAGTCAAGCTCAACAGGGTCTTCTTAAGCTGCTGCGACAGGTCATCCAGTTGCTTATCGAAATCTCTGTTTCTTGTTATCCCCCGCACCCTTGCTCGCACCCCCACCCCCCAGGAGTCAAGCTCAACAGGGTCTTCTTAAGCTGCTGCGACAGGTCATCCAGTTGCTTATCGAAATCTCTGTTTCTTGTTATCCCYCGCMCCCTTGCTCSCCCCCCCCCCCCCTCCTCTTTGGCCCGCCCCCTCTCCCTCTCTTCATTGATAATTGATTGCTTCTTTTACTAGTAGTTTTCTTTCTTTATTAAAAATATTTAAATTATATTTTGAACTTTAATAAATATTTTAAATGAGAAAATCGTTGCTTTTGAATTGGAGCCTGAATTTGAGCTTCTTCGGTACATATCACAGGATAGTACCCTCACTGGGTCCCCAATGTGCTTGATTTGTCTTTTGCTTTTAGTGCAGTTGGGTTTCTTTCTGTAGTTTGAGCCTACGTAAAACACCAGTACGCTGCCCACGTATAAGTTTTGGACCTCCTGAATTCAAAGGGACCTCGGGCATGGTCGGCCAAGGCACAGTTGAGGCTCAGGTGGGGCTTGTTTGTTTTCAAAATCAGGGACGGGACTTCTAGAGAGAAAAGGAAGAAAAAAAAAACTTTGCAACAGAGAAGGTGAAGGCAATGAAAACAAGAAAAGAAAACCAAACCAAGAGGCCTGAAAAAAAATGTGCCCAAAATGGACAAGGCGAAAAAAAAAAAACAAGAAGGTGACAACGAAGGCGAAGGCGGCAAAATGAAAACCAGAAAGGCGAAGGAAAAAAAAAAGACGGTGCTGTTCGTTCGACATTTCGCAGTTTCGGATACATATTTTTTTGAAACGAATCCAACGGCTCCGGAAAGTGATGCCGGTAGGTTCTGGAACACCGCTGACCGTCCAATGTACTGGTGGTCTAACTGTGCAATCAAATCGGATCAAATTGTGAATCATGATGATGGCGATGTTGTGCTGTGATGAAGGTTATGATTGTGACAACCAAACCGGGTGCTCCGAAAGAGTTTCACGGCGCACGCGTTGTGGGCTCTGCCAGGTCAGTGGTTCTCAATTTCATATAATCCAGTTTTCATTTCATAGGTGGGAGTGGTGGGGTTTGACTTCTTCCTTTCTTTCCACAGCTAGAGCAAGCATAGAATCTTTTGAACAACCTCTTCCTATTTCCTTTGTGGTCGATCGTTTTTTGACTGAATCTAATTTTCTGCCTTCTCGGACTGACGACACCCCCCCCCTCTCCCTCCTCCCCCTCCCTATCGCTCACAAAGGCTATACAGGGGACACCTGATGGCATAGCTAGCTCTCACAGTGAAGGAGATATTCAAGGTTGCCTCTTGCCCTAGTGGTCGGGGTGCCGGGTTGGGCCTTCCGGCGGGGGCCCGACGAGTACAAAGACCAAGCATTTTCTGCCAGTAGCTGCACCTCCCTCTTCCTCGCCGCCCATCCAATTGAGTAACAGCAGTGTGTAACAAGGCCAACAATCTCCCACCCACCACACACAACCCACTCGCACACACACTCACACCCGTGTTTGCTACCAACTAAGGGGAGAGAGAGAGAGAGAGAGAGAGAGAGAGAGAGAGAGAGAGAGAGAGAGAGAGAGAGAGAGAGAGAGCATCCATTGATCTGTGTTGGTGTCGGTCTGTTTGATGGGGATCTGCTGTGATGGCATGCTGTGTGTTGGTCTGTTCCTCTTCAGCTTTCCTTGTCCTTGGTATAGAATTCTCCCCCTCTCTCTCGCAGCAAGTCCAAGAATTTATGACGAGGTCAAAAGATTCAAGCCGGATATCATCCATGCGTCATCCCCAGGTGTCATGGTAAGTTCCTTTTGAAGCCCCCTCTTGCTTCCCTTTTTTTTTTTTTTTTTTTTTTGAAGTTTAAACTTTAAATGGACCTTTTCTCCACTTATGCATGCCATCCTTGCGCAGGGGCCATGCGAATCTTCATTCTGTGTATCGTTTCAATTTGAATGGATGCTGAGTTGAGTTACTCGGTGGTGTGAATCCGCGGGTATGCTGGGGTAGAGATGATATTGCCATGATATTAAAGCTCGGTGTGATCTTTTACCTTTTAAGTCTTAATCCATTGCATTTCATAATTTAATTATCGATTCTTCTCAATTGACTGGAAAGCCGGAAATACAGTGGCAGTAGCACAGCCTAATTGCAGGAAGCAGCTGGTTGAGGGATCAACAGAATTAGTTTTTTTTTTTTGGCTGGTGGTGACAGTTACCAGGCAACTGGCCTGTCATAGCCTCTGATTGGGTGTGTGTCGTTCAGCCACTGGAAGTGACTTTTGTCTTTTTCTTTTTTGGACACCCTCCTGTGCTAGCAGCGATGTTTATATGAGCTTTGCTGTTGTGCAAGCATGACTATGGGCGGCATTAGGACTAAAAGTCTAGAACTCGTTATTCAGTTTGGCATCAAAGGAAAGGTTCGTCAGATGCTGCCTCTTCCCTTTCTTCTACTGTTTGCAGCGGAGATCGAAATGTGACTGTGTACGTTGAAATGTGACTCTGTACATTGAAATGTGACTGTGTACATTGGAATGTGACTGTGTACATTGAATTAAAAATGTGGTGGATGCTCGTTGATTGGGTTCTCAGGTATTTGGAGCACTGATATTTGCCAAGTTATTAAGCTTGCCTCTCGTTCTCTCCTACCATACACATGTCCCCAAGTAGGTGATGTTTCTTTCTATTTTGCCCCTTGGAGAAATGATTCTTGCAATTTTGCCCCTGAGATGAACGTTCTCTCCTACCATACACATGTCCCCAAGTGGGTGAACGTTTTCTGTTCCGATTCAATCATTTCAATGTCATTTAGCTTCTTTTTCGAAATCCTGATTTAGACCGCCTGTATTCTATTTTGCTCTTGCGTTCTCTCTGTTTGCAGTCTACCGTCTTGACCTGAATAGAACGCCCGGTCATTATAGCTGTACGGGGACTGAAAGTTTCACAAGATACAGCTATAATGACCGGGCATTCTATTCGGGTGAAGACGGTAGGTTCTGACATCATGTTCTCTCTGTTCGTGCTCCAGCACCTCAGTCCAAGAAATGTGAGCTTGCTTTCCTCTTTCTTTTTTTTTTCTTTTTTTTTTTTTTGGAGCAAAAACATTGTGACATCGAGGGGGAGCTTTATTTATTTAATTCTTTATTTAAACCACAACTACCTTTCAGGCTGGAAGGCGAAGTCGTAAATATAACCTATACAGCATTCTTCGGAGGCGGGCAAAGGCCGGTGTCGCACTTATTCCAGTCAGGCCACCTCGGGCGACCGGAAAGCCAACAGGCTGTCACGCAGGGTTTGGATGATGTCTGCAATAAATAAATAAATTAAATAAAGAAAATACCTTCCTGTTGTGTGCGTCCGGCTTCGAGCGAGACCCTTCAATTGCGGTCTTTGCCGGTCCCCGGTCTTAGGAATCTTTTATTTTGATTTGGAACAGCAAAGATCATGCAAATAACAATCGTGAAATTTGGTGTATCATGTATGTATCAATTCTGCCAATTTCTAATATTTGAGAACCGTGACAAGATTCACAGGAAATACAATCATAAAGCAAAGTTGAATACGGGCAAAGCAAGGACTGACAAACTCGAGCAATGACAAGGGTAAATGAGGGAAGGATGAGAACTCATAATAATCTTAGGGGGTACACATGAAAGGAACATGGACAACACTCGTCACGAGTCCTCACTCATCCGTTTGGGTCATACACTTTCTCTCTCATTTTGCTGTGTGTTTCCTGTGCCCTGAGCCATGATCCCGTACTCCTTGAGGTAGTGGCCTCTCAATATAGAGCCACCTAAAACCTGCAAGTTCCGAACACTTCCATCCGAGGCCCATAATGCGGAAGTTAACCATAGCACAAAATTCCTCCCATAATGTAGGAAAATACGGCTGGGAGAAAATCCCACGCCTAAGATGTCGGAACTCGGATGGCTCTGTCACGTCCTCATAATCGATATCTGCAGGTGAGATGTACCTCTTGGCTAGATCAACCAAGCCACCCCAATAGGAGCCATCTGTGAGAAAATAAGGATCTGGGGGTCTGGGGTAGTCAATATAAAGCTTGGGCCCAAAGCTCTGGACCAGTCTGACACGACCCTCATCAAGTTCCTTCTCTTTGTTTTCAAGATACGTGGCCGCTGCGATCCAGACAGAGTCGAAGTGCTCGTGAGTTTCCTTGCCTTTCTTCAGGTAGACTCTCAAGTCATGGATAGTGCCTTCTACAAACTCGGTGTGAACTACAAAGATGGACAGGTTTCCCTGCTTAAAACCAGAAGCACTGACATATCGATACTGGAAGGCATCTTTGGATGCGACCCTGTTGAGCTTGGCCAAAATAGACCCCTCGATTGGGAACAACTGAACTGTACTCATGTGAGAGGTGACTGTTGAAGCTGATTCAAAGTTTTGGATGATGGCACTGTCCAGTTGATACTGGTCTTTGATGCAAATGACAATAACCGAATGCTGCTTGAGTTTTGACTGAAATTGTCCCTGGCCTTCATGGCGGAGTGTCGTTGAAATAGCAAGCCACTGAATGCTGGGCACTAGTATCGGAACGCTGAGAGAACCGCAGGGTGAAGATTGGCACTCTCTAATGCAGGACAATCCCCGAGATCTCTCCCAGCCAGAGTATTACACAGGGTAGTACTTATGAAGACACCCACTTAACTAGGGAAATAATAGACTTGTAATTCACAAGGGTATTTTTTAAAACAAACATCCTCAACTCATACAGTCACTCACGACAACTTTTGCATCGAATACAGGGCAGGGACTTTGCTCTCTGGCACCCCAGCCCAGAAGCTTGACGAAGTACCACTCCTATAAACAGTGATTAGTACTGATTACTGAGTGCAGCGAGCAAGGGTAGGGTGTGTTGATAAATTCAACGTTGAGCGTCTAAATTTGAAGTGTTGCGAAAACTCCGTAGCCAGCTGTTTTACACAGTGCGGATGAGTGTGGTTTACACCTACGTTTAAGGGCCAGACGACATAGGCAGGGTTTTCGTCTTCTCACAGAGCGCCTTACTCTATTTCTTCCCCGAGTTTGTATCAGATGATCGGCTTACAGGTATTGGTTCACAGAAAAGGTAACCCGTCGCAAGTCAGGTTATATCCAGATCAGAGACACTCGAACTGTTAGCTCTCTTTCTCGTCAAACCCATCAAGAGGGGGTGACGTTAGTCTCCGTCAAGCAGGAATTTAGCAAGTAAGAAAGCTATTTTTCTCAGGATTTCTTCTCTCCTGCCCATTTAACTGGGTCCTCACGATGACTTACCTCTCCAGTTCCAATCTAGCAATTAGTCAATCAAAGTAACTCCTGCTCCCTTCTCTGAGAGGGGAGAAAATCCGCCCACGGTTTGATGCATTCCGATCCAATCACAAGAGTGAAAGAACCTGCAACCAGTGACCAAATACTTATTTCCATGATACACAGGTCAACAACATGTCACTCATAGTTGCACCACCGCCCTGGAAACCACGATATTGATTATCACTCATGCAAGATTGTATGTGACTTCAATTATTAGGCTAGCTCATGCGCTCACAAGGATTGACTCCGACTGACACGACCCCCCCATCAACATCAGTCGAAAATTCTTTAATAAAGATACCTATGCTCTACCGGTATTTGAGAGGTGTATGGGTCGACTTTGTTATCCTGTGAGCTTGAGGGACACGTAGCACTCACAGCGAACTCAATCACTTGCGATTATACTGGACAGCTTCAAGGGAGCCTTCCCCCATTAGCAACTCACTCCAGAACCCCTTACCTGAGCAATTAGTTTGCTATCATCTGACTAGAACTCCTTGATTGTTGCATACCGTAACGTGCAGACCAGAACAAGAACCGACCTCTCAATGCAAAGTACAAGATAACACAGCGGAAGACTTCGATACGAATGATCCGAACAATCAATATTGCAATGCAGCCCTGAACACACATCATCATCATCGTTATCTGGTGTGAAGGGGGTCTGGCGCTTCACACAAGAAGACTGCGCCAGCCCCAACCATACACAGACGAAGGAGGGGTTAGAAGAAAGAGGAGGGAAGATGGGAATGTCGTCAACACCAAGTCTCAGTACATGCCCAAATAGTCCCTCGTTGAAATGTCTGAATCCCAATGTCCAGTCTGGACTCGATGTCGTCAAGTCTCAAGTCACAACTCTTTCTCTCTCTGTCGTAGTCTGAGAAGTCAGGTGGCGAGAGGGTGAGAAGAGATGGTGGACTTAGAAGAGGAAGAAGAAGAACTCTCTCTCTCTCTCTGTCCAGTACTAACTTGTGAAGTCGGCGCCTTGATGCAGGTACCACGAAGATGGAGTTGGAGCAATGGCGCCACAGGTAAGTACCACTGGCGTCCGCCAGTGTCTCTCCCAACTCTACGATCTACCACCTACCAGCGCCCAGCGCTGAAGACTACAACTACAGCTATGGCGCCCAGCGCCGAAGACTACAGCTAGCGCTAATACTACCTAGCGCTGAAGACTACTGCAGCGCTCCTCCTGAGTGCTGCGGCCGAAATCCTGAAGACTACTCGTGTACACTGACCACTACCCACCCGTGAAGTGCCTAGGACAGTCCTATGTACTACCGGGGTGCCTCCTGACTCCTGGCGAGCAGTCCAGGAGGCTGCTCTTGCCAATGCCGATCGGAGGCAGGGGCTGCAGCTGCAGCTCCTGCTCGAGTTCGTGAGGAACAGGCTATTTCTGGCCTGTTCCGCATCCCTGTTTMCGTGCCTGAGTCTTAGGGGCAGGTCGAAACAATGAGGGCCTGAAAATGGCCCTCCATTTCAGGCTGAAAACTCTGGGTCTGAAAAGACCCAGAAATAGGCTGAAACGGGGTAGGGCCTGCAGGCCCTTGTTTTTCAGCTTTCAGGCTGAAACGACCGGGGCCTCTAAGCCCTAAGTTTTAGGCTTTTATGCTGAATGTCCGGGACGGGCCCTGCAGGGCCCGTGTGGCTACGCAGTATGCCACACCCCCCCCTCCTTGAAGAACYGAGCTTACCTGCGAGGGCGAAGCTGTCTGTCTGAGGGAGGGACCACAGTCCGGGTGGGAGGGGCTGGTCATGAAGCTTCCTGAGCCAACCTCCGCTTTTCATAATGCGCGTAGATCAGCGGTGCGGATGCTTTCAAATCTGCACCTGAAATCCACCGAGTGTCGTCGCGATTGCATGCTTTGAATGTGACTTCGTACTGCCGCGGCTTGCTGCCGTACTTGCGATCGGAGATGACGCGGTCAACTTCCTGATGACCATCCATAGAAGGAGGGTCCTGCGATCGTCGGCCCGGAAAGTCGTCGCTCTTGGCTGGCGTGTATGTTGCCAGCTTCGAGGCGTGGAAGACCGGATGGACCGTCAGATGCTCTGGAATGTTGATCACAAATGAAGGGCCATCGGGCTCATTGCCCGCGGCTGCTGTCACAGACCAAGGTCCAAACCACTTGGGAAGCAGTTTGCGTGAAACATCCTGTTCCAGTGCAAACTCTTCCGCGGAGACGCAAACCAGATCACCGGCGCGGATGGGACATGGTACGCGACGCCTGTTGGCTTGCTGCTGCATGCGGACTTGAGCCTTTTGCATATTTGCACGGGCTTGAGTCAGCAATTCCCTGTACTTCCGGACGAAAGCGGGAGAGCAGGCAGCGTCAATGTCGGCCGGTCGAGGGAGGAGAAGGTCGGCGAAGATACGGCCTTTCCGTCCACCGTGGTGCAACTCGAATGGAGTCACGCCGATCGCCGGGTGCACCGAAGTGTTGTAGGCGAACTCGATGTCGGGGAGGCGGTTAACCCAATCTTTCTGGTCCAGACGGATGAGCGTATGAAGCATCATTTGAGTGGTTTGATGTGCCCGCTCGGTCTGCCCGTGTCACACAACCAGTCCATGCACAAGTGCCTATGTACCTGGCCGTGACCGTGCGAGGTGTATTATCCCAAAATGTCAACAAGAAAACGTTGGGGTGATCGTCCCTCAGAGCACGTTTGACTTTCGTGTGTGTCTCTCTTCTCCCCTCACTCTGGCCCCTTGTAACCACTTAGCGGCCTCAGTCTCGTCGCCGTCACGAGCTGGCCTCCTGACCGTCTTCCACTGGTTCTGCGGGCGGGTGGCCTCGATGCCCTTGGTCCATCCCGAGCCAGGACTGGGTCTCGGCCTCCAAGTCGCTCACATAGCTCTCTGCTTCTGTGTCGCAGTCCAGGTGCTGTTGCTCCCTCTCTGCGGTATCTGTGGCCGTCTCCCCTTCCAGGTACGAAACGGTCACTTTTATTTCGTTCGTGACCCCGTCTCTCCTGCACCTCCTCTCAGCCCGGTCCTTGGCCTCGGTGATGGCCGCCTGCAGTCCCTGGTCCTCTCTTATTTCTTTCTCTTTTCCCCCTTCTACGTTTACCTTCAGTCTTGCCTCCTGATTACAGTGGCTGTAATCCAAGATGGCGGTCACCACAGTCCCGTCTCCAGACATCCGCTCCCACCTCCAGAGGAACTGGAGGTCCTTGGCCTATAGCCATACAGCCCACTGCTGCGCACCGTGGTCGAGAACGGACAGTACACACCACCAGTCCACCGACTCTGAAATAGCCCGGACTTCCATTGGCACATGCACACACAGACAGGTTGCCGCACGCTCACCACGCAGCTCAGCCCTCTCCCCTTAGTTCGCCAACACTTGGCGTAGCGAGGCTGCTCATGCCCAAGTAGCCGAAGGCCACTTCCCCTTTTCCTTTATAGGGCCGTCGCATACCGCGAGCCCTGCGTTCCGAACGAGGGACTCAAACGGATCTCAAAGCTTAATTCAGAAAATAACAAAATAAAATAAGTTAAAACAGAATAAAGTGAAATGGAACGAAGAGAACGAGAGGCCGATCCTCAACGGTCGTAGCGCAAGCGGGCTTTGCGCTGTCAACCACTAGAAGCTTCATGCCCTGATGTGAAGCGACCACAGGTTAGACTCGCCGGTCCCATAACGGGATACCGATGGGGCCCCTTTTCCCTTCTAAACATGCCGCCGGGCTACTCCTGACGGGTACCCGCCTCCGATGGCAAGGAGGGGGCTTATGACCCTCCGTGGAAGGTGATAAGCCTCCTACCAATGCGGGCGCGGGTTGCCCCTCTTTTGGGGTCCTGCGCCAGGAACGTAGTAAACGCGAAGGGCCAAGCCATTCTAGGCCACCAGTCCTTAGTCACGGTTCGAAAATGAACCATTTGCTTCCCCGCGAAGTGACCGAAAGGAAAATTAAATAAAGAAATAGGTAATAATAATAGTAATAATAGCAGAGAGGGGAAAACGACACTTCAAAATTCTTTTGCACCGCTACATCACTAAAGCCATCAGACCCCGAGACACAAAAGCATCGATCCAGGTCTAGGCACGGATCTGAGGCTCCGCATTCACCCCTTCCCCTGTTTATTTTCTTTTCCTTTGCTCTATACTTCTCTTTTATTGACAGCGACCGTCGTCACTACACCTACCTCATAACCTAGCTACAGGGGCTCGATGCGTAGTTCAAAGTGACTGCTTCAGACTTTCACTATCCCATCCCTGAGCGGGCCCGATGGCTGTCATGGCCACAAGCTAGCTGTGCTCAGCTGCACAGCTGGGCACCGAGCCTGCGTGGACCGACGGTAAACCCAACGGCGTTACCAGTGATGCGGAACGGACCAGTCCCGCAGCGAAGTATAACCCAAAGGACCTGGTACACCACCGTAGTTCTGTGAGTTTGTCCGGCATGCAGCGGAGGGCCGGGACACCGCACCCTCCGACACCGGGCGCTACTGGACCAAAAAGGCTGGCGGTGCCAGCCAAAACAAAACAAAAAACGTCACGCTGGCGCTTGTGCCAAAGAGCACGCAGTTCTACTCTGCCTCGGCAAAAAGAGGCTCGGAGGTACTGGGGGTTTAAAGGTCCTTTCTATCAAAAGCTGGAACCGGGTGTGGTGTCCCTCACAAAGCTTGAACCACCAGTACTTCTCGGAGTCGTGCCCGTTAACACGCCACACTTTTAGGAAACGTATGTGCGACTACAGGAGCGCCCAAATTCATCCGACTAGAAACATTTCTACTCTTTTTTTTTTTTTTTTTCCGCGGCCGATAGCTGGGCCAAGTACTGGTGGCTTAAGCTGACCCACGCTTCCCTCCGTTACGCTCAAGGGACCCTGAGACAAGGGCATTGATTGGTTTGTTGGGAAGGATTTATCCCTGCTTCACCTGTGCTTCCATTCTACAACTTCCCTCTTGGTGCCTCCTAAGTGCCGTGTCCGTGCTGCCTAGCTCAGGCTCGATTTCCTGCCTGATTCCCTTGATTGCACTCACCGCTGCTCCCGGCGATGGGGGCCATAGAAATAATTCGTTGCTAGCTGCGCCTTTTTTGCTGCTGCTTTTTGACGACAACAACATCTCATCTGAGGCGCAAAGGCCCGTCCGTTCTGACTGTGTATTATTCGAAACTACAAGAAAGAGTACATGATAGCTTTTCTTGCTCTGGAAGCTTTCATGATTGCTGTGTTTTGCACGCTAGATCTTCTACTTTTTTTCTGTGTTCTTTGAAAGTGTTTTCTAATCCCTATTTTTATTGTTAGAGCGGAATGCACTGTATGGGGTTCTTGACAGAGAACAAAATTGGAGCAGCAGCATATCAGTTTTTCTTGTATGCTTACTTGAATCCGTTTTCAGGCTTTTAGCTATTGCCGAACATGTTCGGCACCCCACCGAGGCGCCGAACATGTTCGGACGCTCGGCCGAGCGGGAACCGAACATGTTCGGCCGAGCGCAAATTAGGGGGCTGCCGAACACGTCCTCGTGTGTGTGTGGTGTGTGTGGGGTGTGGTGTGTGTGTGTGTGTGTGTGTGTGTGGTGTGTGCATGTGTGTATGTTCAGGAGTGATGATCAATGCCCCCCGGGGCCCCCCAACCCCTACATATGTCTGACAATATATATATAGCACGGTGAAAGGGGAGTCAAAAGAAGAATGAGTAAAATGAATGGTTTCACTGTGCTCTTCATGTTTGTCTTTTTTTTTTTTTTTTTTTTTTTTTTTTGCCGGTTGTTTCGCAAATTGCACTCTTTTAGTTCATAGTTATGTGACAATATATCGTCACAAATAGAACTGCCCGGTAAACCGTAGGCAGAGAGAGAGAAGAGGACAACAAACGAGGGGCTGTGACAAACTGTTTCGTCGGAGTTTCACCAATATATATATATATATATGTTTGGGCTCGGTCGATTTTGGGCCACGTTCGGGCTCGGTCACCGAGCTCAAACGCGATGCTGCGCAGGATATTTTATTGCTTTTGTTTCAGATGGTAACGGCTGATTTACAATTACAAATCTTACTGATGTTATAAAGGCAGTCCGTTATGGCTGTCCTTTGCGGAAGTGACTTGAGGAATACTTCTCTCTGTTATGGCTGAGAGACCCTGAAACAGCTCTGAATGATGCTTCCCAAAGGCTGTCTGTCGCCTGGTCTTTTTTTTTGAAAGAAAAATACATGATGCTTCAGCTCAGGATATATCACTCCAAACCTCGTACCAAATTGCGCCGTTAAGAAGATTGCTGGGGATAGAATGAGGCGGTACTCACACCTGAAATTTCTGTGGTGAATCTGCCAGGAATTGCTTCCTGATGCGTCTAGTGAATTTCTGTTCTTCCTGAGGTGTGCCCCGACCCTTTTGTCTCCATTCGCTTAGAGAGCATCCAACACCCAAGAAGTTTCTTTTGAGGATAAAAATGTAGTGTTTACATTGACCCTGGCCTTCAACAGCCTGAATGGCTTTCAGGCTTTTATGGGGGCACAGCAAAGGGCGAGCTGGGAGTCTGTCTGGATTTCGGAACCTGGTTACCCGTCACGAGAGCGGCGGCGTGCTCACCTATATGGATTCAATTTGTGCCAATTTTTGGTTGCCTGGCAGGCAGAAAACAATCGCTTATTTCTTTTTCCTAATATTTCTCCTCAAAACAGCCGTTGTTACCCTGCAGCCATGATTCTGTTTCTAAATTTTGTCAAAATAAAAATCTCTAAAGTTGGGGCATTCAAAATTTTGCGCCCTCCTTCACCCCCCYCCCCCCCCCCYTCCTCCTTCCTCCCTGCCCCCTCGGCTCCCCTCTTTCACACGGTAGGCCAAACCTTCCCCCTGTGGTCTCGTTCACAATTAAGGGTAGTGGTGCTTTAAAGCTTCGGAGGTTACTTCTCTGTCCTTTTATTCAGTTGGGAGGGAATAGATTGGAGCCACGACAATAAGCTGGCATTGAGGCTCGTTTTGGTGGAGTCAATGCTGTCATTTGCTTGTTGAGCCTTCTGACATGAGAGCAACTGCAGCATACCTGGTTCTGACCATCCTTGATTTGACCGTCACCGTTCTATTTCTGTTTCCTTGCAGGTACATCCCCAAGTACACTTTCACCTGGCTGGTGAAACCAATGTGGGCTGTCATTAGTATGTAATTTACCCTGCTCAGGCTTTGCCTAACTACACATTGTTATCTGCTATTTTCATTTCTTTTTTCTCTCTTTTTTTGGCTTTCCCAATCCTTGTTAGCTCTTTTCTTATCTTTGCCTTCAAAAGGACATCTCACCGATCAAGCCAAGCGAATGTGGATGTCATTCACACCCTCTCGCTCTCTCACCTCCTCCTTTTCGAACAGATTTAGGATTCTTTCTACCCCTCCTTCCGCTTTCCACCTTATTTTTGCTCCTCCCTCCACCTCTCAACCTCCCTTCCCCCCCCCCCCCCCTCTCATTCTCCCCTTCGTTTGGCACCTGCCTATTAAATGTGAAGTTGTGACCCCTCGTTTGTAGCCATCTATTTATTTCCTCGACCCCTTTTGTATGCTGCTTACTTTGTGAGGAAACCTTGTTCACAAGTATATCACAGGGTTATTCTGTCAATCAACAAGCCGATCCCGACAGTAGACCACTGCGCGTGTACGCTTTTGTACTTGCCTTCTTCTTTTGCTGCTATTGTTTTGAAAGGGGGAAAAAATATCATTTCTGTGATCGACGTGCTGCCTGAGTGCTGAATGCTGATGCATCGATCCATGCCATGACCCATACGTACATGGATACTGTTATAGAATTGAGCAGGGACTCAAAGCAACAGGGTTCGCGTGCGCGCGCGCGCGCTAGAGAGAGAGAGAGAGAGAGAGAGAGAGAGAGAGAGAGAGAGAGAGAGAGAGAGAGAGAGAGAGAGAGAGAGAGAGAGAGAGAGATGATGTTGGTGAAGTTCACATGCTTGCGATGTTGTTTCTTCTTATGTTGGACTTCTGGGGATCTCACCGTCACACCCACACGCACAACATGCACGGGCATGCACACACAGTTTTTTATCCTGGCCTTGTTCAATAATGTTGTATTCATNAGAGAGAGAGAGAGAGAGAGAGAGAGAGAGAGAGAGAGAGAGAGAGAGAGAGAGAGAGAGAGAGAGAGAGAGAGAGAGAGAGAGAGAGATGATTCCTCGTTTTTGTTTAGATAGAACTTACTATACTGTGAACTGTCTTGGAAGCTTTGATTGTTGAATAGTAGTTGACAAGTTGTCTATTGTTGAGACAAATTTTCCTTCCTTTTCTGGTGTATGGATTCCCCTTTCTTCTGCATCCTCGTTATTATTATTATTTTTTCTCGCAGTACTACTAGTAGTGACTTTACCCGTGTGAGCGGAATACCATCTTTAAAAGAAATCGTTAATCTGTTCTCACAAGATTATGGCAGATCCTGAGCATGCTTTTCATGTCCTTGGCTATCCCTCTTTTTTGTTTTGACCTCCAAGCGTGCTTTTCATGTCCTTGGCTATCCTCGTTTTTATGTCCGTTACGCGTGTGTGCCATTTTTTTTAACCTCCAAGCGGGTACGTGTCATTGGTTATCCTCCAGCTTTGGTCTGATAATTTCAGAGGGGCTGGACTTTGCAATCTGCTCATCTTTATATTAACCTGTTATGATCTTGGTTGTCTGACGAATTTTATCGCCACTCACACACAGACAGTCTGATACATGGCCATACATGCGTAAGAGAAGGGAGAGAGGAGACAGAGTCCAAACTGCACACAGGGGAAAATAGGCAGCGGAAGACAGTCATGCACAGATGGGGAGACAACACACAGTGTTTCTCACTCTCTGACGAAACTCCCAACAACCAATCACAAGAAAGAACCTGCGAGGATAACAATTGAAATTGCACTGATGATGAGCCAACTCAAACAATTATTGTAACAGAGTTTGTTCCAGTATCTCGCCACTCTCAGAACTCACACCCCACTCTCTATCCTACACCCAGTTAGTAGCGCCACATCAGAATGGTCTCCCAGAGGCCAGCGCCAGCCACCCTGATGAAGAACAGGTCCGCGATGCAGTCTTCAGTGCCGATGGACAACTCTGACGAAGGAACAGGCAGCTATGGCTGCCACCACCCACGAGTACACAGTGTAGAGCCCCGATGTAGCCCGGCCAGACGCAGATACACCCAGGGGTAAGTGCGCTGAGGATGCCCCAGCTATGGCAGACTCAGACTGGGCCGGCTATGGTTGCTGTCAACGGCGAGGTCTCAGGATGCCGCCTCTGGACAGTCACCGCCACCAACTCGCTTGGCTTCTCCAACCCTGCTTCGCGAGAAATGAACTGCCAAAAGTCCTGAACCGACGGGTCTAACCTATCTATAGACTACACTAGACCTAGACCGGACTGACTGACCAACCGGTACCGTTGCTGTTTCGGCCTCTCGGCCTCTAACGGACCTGGCTATAGGCTATAGGACCGTCTATCAGCATAGGCCACTTAGGGCCTGTCTGTCCTAGGGGTAGCCCGGGCCTGCTATACACAGTTAGGGTAGCTGTGGGAATTCGAGTTAGTACTGGGCCTATATTTTCCCAGATTTACAGATATGTCCCTCACGAATTTCCTTACAGGTAGGTCTCTCTGTTAGCCCTCAGCCAAACAAAACTGCGAATCTAACCTACTGCTGTACTATACAGCCTCGCAATCAGCCTCGGCAGTAGAAATCAACAAGTCATTGCAGGAACCAGGGTAGGCCTTCCTGGTTCCTGTTTATTGAGAGTTTGTTATGCCCCACAACGTGCCCGTAACCTTGATTGCAGAGTAGCAATGGACTCTGCGCTCCCTCTCCCCTTATTGAGGTCGTTGTCTCCAAAAGAGCCACGCAACAGTCCAGCTCTCCTCTTTCCCCGAAGCCAAGTCACCCTCATTATGACTGTATTTGGCACAGAATGGGGTCTGTATACGATCATAACAATGCGGTGTTACCTTCATAGGGGAAGAAGGTAGTGCCTTTGTTCTTGGTCTCTCTACCTCCTAACAAATTGTGCAGACGAAGTTGATGAAAATTTTGCACTGCAAACACGTTCTCAGCACACGGTCATGTGAAGTGCTGATGGGGGTTAGTCTGTTCTTCGTGTTCTGCAATCTAATGCTAGGGAGAGCGTACTCCAAAGGGATCTATTGATTCTGTTTTGGATTAGGATTTGGATATCTATTTCGTCCATTGAAGTCCCACTTCTGGCTTAGGGTCTGGGATCACCAGACCATCTCCTACTGGCTTTCTTGCGTTGCATTCCACCAAAGTCTCTTTTCAGCGGTCCACTACACTAGAAACAAGCGACACATGCAACCTGTGCCCTAGATTCGTTAGATCCGTGGCTGGAATCATGTATAACCATATGGTTTTTAAGGGAAGTGGATTGAAGGTCTCTTTTCTTACGACAGCCAGATATGTATCTCTCAGCCGGTAGCTTGTTCAGTTGCCTGTCGGTTTTTTTCCCAGTCGTTTCTTCCTCGAGCACAGCAAATGGAACAAGGATGGGGAAGAAGGGGAGGGGAGGTGGGGAAAGGGAGGGCAGAGTAAGAACCTGCTCCACAAAATGGAAGTTTCGTTTCGGGCTTTAACGTGCTCCCCACGCACAAATATATTGCAGCATGGTTCCCCCCCCAAAAAAAACAAAAGTCAAAAAGAAAAAGTGACAAGTATTGGATGAAATCATGAAATGCACAAAGGTGTTCAATATCGGACGGAATTTTTGAACGATTTTTATTTCTAGGAATAAGCTGGGAGGTGCGAAGTATATGGACTTGTGATTTTGTGCGAACTGTGGTGATTTGATTGCAATGGTTTTTGATTGTTGTTCTGACAGGATTTTGCCATCAACTTGCCGATTTGACGTTGGTGACGTCTGCTGCTGTAGGCGAAGAGATGGAAGCTGCAGGTGCAGCAGCAGGTACGGTGTGTCTTTGTGCTTTGTACTTAAAAATGAAATTATTGGCATCTTTGTTAGGCTACCAGCCGTGCCGCCCAGGTCACCCTGTTTTCCTGGGCGGCCCAACCGTGCAAGGACCAGGGAAGTTTCCAGCCAAAAAAAAAAAAAAAAGAGTTTCCAGCAAAAAAAAAAAAAAACACCGAAAAAAAACTATGTTATGCAGAAAAATAAACTGAACAACTTTTGCCTCAGGGTCACATCGAAATTCTTTACCAAATTTAAAATCCCTACACTTGTAATGTGAGAATTTTCAATTTTGGCATCCGGGCCATCCGCGGACCTACCGGCCTGACGGTCCGGATTGCTCCGCGATCTTAAGATTTTAAGATCGCGCGGCGATCCAGGCCGTTTGCGGTCCTACGGCCCGACGGCCTGGTACCAGTTGGCCAATGGCCTGGATTAGAAGTTTTCAGCACAACCGAAGCTAGGGCTGCCAGGCGTGGGGCGAAACCGGTTCCAGGGGGGCTGGTCTCCTTTAGGGCGCAGCGGTTCGGGCCCCGCGCATGTGCGCATGTCTTCGGCTGCGCACGGAGTCGGTGTATAGCGAACGAGACAATACTCACCCACACGACCACCCGCCCGCCCGCCCGCTTGAACAAGCACATGCACAGACGCACGCACATGCACACATGCACACACACGCACAAACACACGCACATGCACGCACACGTGCACGCAAATGCATCATGGGCAGACT